TCTGTACACAAGCTGTGCCCATTATGAGGGGTTCCCACCATCCCTGTGCTGAGTTTTTCTGGGTCTGTACAACAGCTGTGCCCATTATGAGGGGTTTCCACCATCCCTGTGTTGATTTCCCAGGTCTGTACACCTGCTGTGCCCATTATGAAGGGAGCCCACCATCCCTGTGTTTAGTTCCCAAGTCTGTACACCAGCTGTACCCATTGAGGGGTTCCCACCATTCCTGTGCTGGTTTTCCAGGTCTGTACACCTGCTGTGCCCATTATGAGGGGCTCTCATTATTCCTGTGCTGAGTTCCCAGGTCTTTACACCTGTTGTACCCATTATGAGGGGTTCCCACCATTCCTGTGCTGGTTTTCCAGGTCTGTACACCTGCTTTGACCATTATGAGGGGCTCCCGTTATTCCTGTGCTGAGTTCCCAGGTCTATGCACCTGCTGTACCCATTATGAGGGGTTCCCACTATCCCTGTGCTGAGTTCCCAGATCAGTACACCTGCTGTGCCCCTTATGAGGGGTTCCCACCAATCATATGCTGAGTTCCTGGCTCTGTACACCTTCTGTGCTCATTATGAGGGGCTCCCATCATTCCTACACTGAGTTCCCTGGTCTGTTCATCTGCTGTGTCTTTTATGAGGGACACCCAGCATCCCCATGCTATGTTCCCAGGTCTGTGCTCATGCAAGATTTCGCCTCATGGGGTAAGGATGACCATGAGAAAAGTGAGGGATCAGCCCAGAACAACACGGGAGGAGCTTCTAAATGATCTGAAAGCAGTTGGGACCACCAGTCACCAAACAAGCCATTGGTAACACAATACTCTGCCATGGATTGAAATCCTGCAGCGTCTGAAAGGTCCTCTTCCTCAAGAAGACATGTACAGGACCATCTGAAGTTTGCCAATGAACATCTAAATAATTCAGAGAAGGATTGGGAGAAAGTGCTGTGGTCAGATGAGACCAAAATTAAACTCTTTGGCATTAACTCGACTCGCTGTGTTTGGAGGAAGAAAAATGCTGACTATGACCCTAAGAACATCATTCCTACAGTCAATCCCGGAGGTGGAAACATTGTGCTTTGGGGCTGCTTCTCTGCTAAAAATACAGGCTGACTTTGACGCATTGAGGGGCCAATGGACAGGTCCATGTATTGTAAAATCTTGGATGAAAACCTTCTCCCCTCAGCCAGAACACAGAAGGTGGGTCGTGGATGGGTATTCCAGCATGACAATGACCTACAACACACCACCAAGGCAACAAAGAAGTGGCTCAAGAAAAAGCACATTAAGGTCATGTGACCTAGCAAGTCTCCAGACCTTAATCCTATAGAAAATTTATGGAGGGAGACGAAACTTCAAGTTGCCAAATGACAGCCAAGAAACCGTGAGGATTTAGAGAAGATCTGTAAAGAAGAGTGGAACAAAATCCCTCATGAGATGTGTGCAAACTTGGGAACCAACTACAAGAAACATCTGACCTCTGTGCTCACCAACAAGGGTTCCTCCACCAAGTACTAACTCATGTTCTGCTTGGGGATCAAATACTTATTGTACTCACTGAACTGCAACTCAGTTTATGTTTTTTTTCTGGATTTGTGGTGGATATTCTGTCTCCATCATTTAAAATACACCTATGATAAAAATTATAGACCCTTCGTTTCTTTGTAAGAGGGCAAAGTTACAAAATCTGCCGGGGATCAAATAATTATTTTAAGCCCACAAGCTGCAGCTGTCAATGTGCCCCCCTTTAAGTACAATGGGGGTGTCTAAAGTTATACAAATCCTGTCCATTCTGTTTTACCTGCACTCATTTCAAAGCCTAAAGTGGTTCTAAAGCAATTCTCTGCATTAATTAAAAAACCTTCTGTGACTGGGATTCCCCACCAGCCACCCTTATGCCTTACCTCGATCCAGCGCTGTGCACAAGAGCAGCTGCTCTCTACTTTCTTGCTCTCCTCATAGGGCAGGTTAATAGCAGTGGGAGCCATTAGCTCCTGCTGCTGTCAATCAAATTCTGTGACGGGGTGGGGCCGAGCCATCATAAGTGCTCCAGTAGGAAGCAGCTTCCTATGGGGGCACTTGCTGAAGAGGAGGAGCCTGGAGTGCTGGTGGGGAAAACAAGAAGAGGAGGAGCCTGGAGTGCTGGTGGGGAAAATGAGAAAAGGAGAAGCCTGAAGTGCTGGTGGGGAAAACGAGAAGAGGAGGATTGAGGCTGGTGAGTATGACATGTTTGTTATTTTAATTAAAGAAAAAGCTTTATTATCACTTTCATTTTTTAAATTTTTACCGGCACATATCTTTTATGTGAAACACTTGAGTGGAGACCCCAGCTGGGGGGCACTTGGTGTGTTCATGGAGATGGGTCCACCTGACGCCATGGCATCTAATACTATGGATCAAAGGCTCTTGGTCCTGTGACTGCTCCGTAGACGTGCCTGTCTGCTCCTTCACATTATTTCACGGCAATATAAATCACCAGTTTAGCATTGACATGCTCTTTCCATTCTTTGTGTCTCAGTGACGTGCAGACCCCCCAGGATCCCGCACCTGCTGCGCACATGGAGCTCCCCCAGAACGAACACTCGGGACGCCTTCTAAACACTTGGCTGAAGGTTTGGTTGTATCTGTGCAACTTTTTCATCCATGTCAAACATTACTCTGTGACGTACAGTCCCTGTGTGGGTGTCAACAAACTGACATGTTTGACTAGCATGCTTAGCGAATACTTCTAGTCATTTTTTTGGCCAAAACACTACAGATGAAGCATTTTGCCTTCCATGATTAGCGTACAGCAACCTTTCTCAACCAGGGCTGTGTGGAACACTAGGGTTCCTCTAGAGCAGTGGTCTCCAAACTGCGGCAAAAGGTGCCGGATGCTGCCCTTTTCTAGCCTTTATCTGGCCCTTGGGGAAATATTCCTCCCACTGATTTGAGGCACTATACCTAACACTGACAACATCAGAAGGGGCATAATTCCCCCAACTGACACCAATGATGGGGGAGCTATTCCATCCACCGACAACAATGATGGGGCACTCTTCCACTCATAGCAATGATTGGGTACTATTCCATCCACTGACACCAATGATGGGGCACTATTCCTTCCACTGACACCAATGACAGGGCACTATTCATCCTACTGACATCAATGACAGGGCACTATTCCCACTGACACCAATGACAGGGCACTATTCCTCCCACTGACACCAATGACGAGGCACTATTCCTCTTAGTAATAACAATGATGGGGCACTATCCTCCTCTTACTGACCATAGGCACTATGCAACTGAACACCACACCTGAGGCATTGGGACATTTTCTGCCTTCACTAGCCATAATTCGGCCCACCAAAAGTCTTAAGAATATTAAAACTGCCCCCACCCCCCCCCTTTTTTTTTTTTTCTTCCTTTTTAACGTTTGGAGACCACTCCTCTTGAGATTGTTAGAGGTTCCTTAAACTGTGGCTGGTTGGTCTCCTATTTGACGGCAATGGTGTATCCATTTGTTGTGCTGCCCTAGGCAACAAAAGACTCAGGCACCCCCTACCTGCAGCGACAAACCCCCTCCAACACCCTTGTTGCCATCACCGCCAACACCCAATCACCTGATTGAAAGAACTAACCTGCACAAGAGGCAGCCTGCCATCCGCACACCCTCCAGCAGTGCCTCCTCACTGGGTCCCCATCCCTGCCACTTCCTCCGGGGGGTGGTTCCCCCCCCCCCCCACCCCGAGCATTTCCACCCAAGACAAACGCATTGTTTGCCTTGTAAATACGCCGCTGGGTTTAGGGCCAATGCACTTGAAAGAGCAAACAGCAAGACTTCACTAATCTATTTAGGCGTATGTAAGGGTGGCATCTCGAGAAGCACCGTGAGGGTGACACTCTTATGACTGACCACCAATGTAAAGAATATTTTTCCCTCTGACCACCATTGTAAAGAACATTATTCCCACTGACCATCAATAAATTGGTTTTAACTGGTATTCCCCCTAGATCTGAAAAATTAATTTCGAGGGTTCTTGTGGGAAAAATGTTTAAGAAAAGACTGGTTTACAGTATTATTTTGGATCTGTGAGACCCCCTTTTTTTATGGGTTAGTGTTGACCTTATGTGCCACCAATAGCAAATTGTGTTCTTTCTTCGAATATATATGAAGGCTCCACTGTCAGATGCAGCCCTCGGTACTTGTTTGGCCTTCAGACCCCAGCAATCCGTAATGGAAGAATCCTATTAAAGGTGTTCCTTTGGCAGAATGCACACATATTCCCAAAGACACTCTCCGAAACCTTGTGGAAAGCATTCCCCAAGAAGTGGATGATAGTATAGATGCAAAGAGGGACCAACTCCATATTAATGCTCATGGTTTTGGAGTGGGATGTCCAACAAGATCATTTAGGTGACATGGTCAGGTGTCCACAAATTTTTATGGCCATATACCGTTTCCTGAGGCACCTCATTGTACCTCTGTTCAACACTGACCTCATTGTGTATTCACTTAAAGTGAATCTCAGTTTCCCATAGTGGTTCAAACTGAACTCTCAAGGCACAACAATTTTAATTCCTTCCTCAACAGCCTCAAAGAATATATTCTACTCCTTGTGCACAGAATTCCTTGACAACCTGGATATTACCATGTAAGGCTCCGTGTGCACGGGGCGTTTCTGAACGATGGAAACTGCTGGAAAACGTAGGTTAAAAAAAGTCTGTTTAGCCACATTTGCATAATGCATTTGCGTGTTTATACGCATTTGCGTTTAGAAGCGTTTTTTTTGAAAGATAAGCACAGAAGAACCTCCCAAATGCCCAGATAGCACTGCAAAGTTGTAAATTATGAACTATTTCAGACTGTTTCAGAGAAATACAGAGAGTAGAAGCAGAGACAGTAGTATGTGTTGAGATTAGCTTAGGTGTGAGTTGCTCATTAACATTTTTTTTGTTTCAATGGGTGGGAAAGGTGTCTGGTGGAGGGAGTCATTAAGGTCACCTGGCATTGGGTCTTAATGAGGAATTTGAGGTGTGAATGGTCATTAACATATCTTTTGTTTCCAAGGTGGGAGAGGTCTGAGGTGTGAATGGTCATTAACATTTCTTTTGTTTCCAAGGGTGGGAGAGGTCTGAGGTGTGAATGGTCCTTAACATATCTTTTGTTTCCAAGAGTGGGAGAGGTCTGAGGTGTGAATGGTCCTTAACATTTCTTTTGTTTCCAAGGTTCTGGGAGAGGGAGTCATTAAGACCTGGTGTGAGGTGTGATGGTCCTTAACATATCTTTTGTTTTCAAGGGTGGGGAGAGGTCTGAGGTGTGGATGGTCATTTACAATGTGTGACAAGCTTGGTAGGAACATCCTGTGTTCAGTGTTTTGTCCATCTGAGCACCTTCAAAACTCTTTCATGCATTTTTCATGATAAAAAAAGGCTCTGGACAGCATTGGGAATTGGAAGAGTTAAAAAAAAAAAAGCAAACGCTTATAAACGTGATTTGTCAGCGTTTACAAGCGTTTCGCACGCTGATAAAATCGGCATCTGAACGCAAGTTTGTTGCATTAAAAAAAACTACTGTAAACTCAAATGCCTGTAAACGACGATGTCTACATGGACACATAGGAAAACATTAGGGTGAGTTCAGGGGCTGCTGAAAAAAACGCTGAACAGCTCCTGAACGTGAGTTTATCAGCTGCAGTGTACATGAGCCCTAAGAGTAGCAGTGATATAATCACTGTGCTGCATAAAGACTGTACCGAAAGCAGAGCTGTTGGAGGGGCCCAGCAGGCTCCACCCACTATAGAAAACCACAGGAAGGGGCGGCGACAAGACCAGTCACCCTGAACAAAGAGAGGGAGCAGCAGTGAGCGGTCTTTATTACAGGACGGAAAAGTCTCACACTGCACAGATCTGGAAGAAATACACAAAGCACAAGATTCAAACAAGGCGTATCGCCATTAGAAGGACAATCTATGAAACTGAAAATTCTTTGAAGTAATTCAAATATAGAACATCAAGTACATAATGTGAAATTTTCACCCAAAATAGCTGTTGAGCAAACGTTACAAAAATAGCTCAATGTGTCATCACTGAAGATACAGTTTTTACAATATGGTTTCGTTTGGCTGTGTCTTGACGATTCTTTTTTTTTCTTCTATGGTCTTATGACGATATGTATCACCATTGTAGAACATGCTCCCTTTTCCCCAACATTGCCAAACCATTGCGTCTCGTGAGATATTTGGCGGCCGACGTCTGTTTTACATCCCTCTGCCGTGATTCAGCCGCGGCGTTCAGCAGCCGCTGTGGAAAGCCGAGTAACCCCTCTAAAAACCAGCCCAGAATCCATCAGTCACTGACTCGGAGGTACATTTTGTGAACGTACATTCTGTTGATGTGCTTCCCCCCCCTCCCCTTTCCATGTAAACGAAAAACATGTTTTGGAAAAATTAAACCGTTTTTTATCTTTCTGGCGTTTTTTAATTTTTTGTTTCCATGACAAGATAATTGATGGCTTGTGTGTGATCTTTTGTGTTATATTTAGTAAGATATAATCAAAAACACTTTCATGTATCAACACCCGGATCCTCTCTTGCTTGTTAAGCTTTTGGGTGGAAATTTTTTTGTAAAAAAAGGTCAGAAGTCATGTGACTGAGTTTGATAGCGGCACGGGATCTCTATTTTCTGGGGCCACTTTTACTACCGTAGGTAGTCTTTGTAACTTTCCACTCTTAGTACATGTTGGATTCGTGTGTGCTGCCTAGAACATCACCCCACCGTTCTTAAAGTAAAACTCTAGTAAAAAAAAAACAAAATGCACAGTGTATTAAAAGAAATACCGTATTTTTCGCTCCATAAGACGCACTTTTTCCCCCCCCCCAAAAAAGGGGGAAAATGTCAGTGCTTCTTATGGAGCGAATGTAAAGCGGCCGGTCCGGTATTTCTGCCACCGCCATGTCGGAATATCGGGCCGGCCGCTTAGCTCTTCTCTCCTGCAGGACCTTACCTGTTCCTCGCTCCAGCGCTGCAGTCTTCCCGCGGCAACTTCTGTGACAGCCGGGTGCCCACTGCGCATGCGCGAGAAGCGCCGCGCTTTGTGAATGGTCCGGTGTCTTCTGGGACACATGACAGGTCCCAGAAGGCTCATTCACAAAGCGCAGCGCTTCTCGCACATGTGCAGTGGGTACCCGGCTGTCACAAAAGCCGCCGCGGGAAGAAGAAGGAAGGACAACTCCGCGGAAGTGGGAGCGGGTACCTGTCAAATTCAGGTACCCGCTTCCCCCTCCCTCCCCAAAGGTCCGCAGTCTCTGGTAATCTCCTTTACTGTCTGCAGTCTCTGGTTATCCCCTGCACTGTCTGCAGTCTCTGGTCTTCTGTACTGTGTCTGCAGTCTCTGGTCTTCTGTACTGTGTCTGCAGTCTCTGGCCATCTCCTGTACTGTGTCTGCAGTCTCTGGCCATCTCCTGTACTGTGTCTGCAGTCTCTGGCCATCTCCTGTACTGTGTCTGCAGTCTCTGGTCATCTCCTGTACTGTGTCCGCAGTCTCTGGTCATCTCCTGTACTGTGTCCGCAGTCTCTGGTCATCTCCTGTACTATGTCTGCAGTCTCTGGTCATCTCCTGTACTATGTCTGCAGTCTCTGGTCGTCTCCTGTACTATGTCTGTCTGCAGTCTCTGACCGTCTCCTGTACTATGTCCGCAGTCTCTGGTCATCTCCTGTACTATGTCTGCAGTCTCTGGTCATCCCCTGTACTATGTCTGCAGTCTCTGGTCGTCTCCTGTACTGTGTCTGCTGTCTCTGGTCATCTCCTGTACTGTGTCTGCTGTCTCTGGTCATCTCCTGTACTGTGTCCGCTGTCTTTGGTCATCCCCTGTACTATGTCTGCAGTCTCTGGTCATCTCCTGTACTGTGTCCGCAGTCTCTGGTCATCTCCGCAGTGTACTATGTCCGCAGTCTCTGGTCATCCCCTGTACTGTGTCCGCAGTCTCTGGTCATCCCCTGTACTGTGTCCGCAGTCTCTGGTCATCCCCTGTACCGTGTCCGCAGTCTCTGGTTATCCCCTGTACTGTGTCCGCAGTCTCTGGTTATCCCCTGTACTGTGTCCGCAGTCTCTGGTTATCCCCTGTACTGTGTCCGCAGTCTCTGGTCATCCCCTGTAGTATGTCCGCAGTCTCTGGTCATCCCCTGTACTGTGTCCGCAGTCCATTGGTTCAGAATATTTTTTTTCTTGTTTTTCTCCTCTCAAACCTAGGTGCGTCTTATGGTCAGGTGCGTCTTATGGAGCGAAAAATACAGTAATTAACTGCTTCACCTTAGGTTCACACCTATGCGGCTGCGTTTTGCTCGGGTACGAGAGCCCATTCATGTGAATGGACTTCCATGCCTGTGACACGCAGGGAAAGAAGTCCCTGCACTACTTTGGAAAACGCAGCCCGCACAGGAACCTCGGTTCCCAGTACGGTTGCGTTTCCCAGTGCGGGCGGCATGCCATTAGAACTAATGGCACCCGTCCGCGGGTCCATAATTCTCTGCGCGGGTGGGATTTTTGTGCGACCCACACAGATGTGAACCAGGGGTCAATGTTCACCTTCAATCCAGTGCTGTTCCTTGCAGTAGTTCTGATGTCCTCAGTCTTCCAGGTAGAATGGGAAGCAGCTTAATTCGACTCACTTCCTCTAAATCCAGGCTGTCACGGGCTCATCCTCTGGAGTGCATCGTCACACAGCATGTAATACTCTCAGCTGCAGATTATCACACAAGCTCAGAGTATTTTTGTACTGAACAGCGCTCACTCATCATGACCTAATGAGTACTATTCAGTGCAAAAGTAAGCCACTACCCTCGTGTGAAAACATAAAGGACAGGTGACGTCATGGCGCTGGCCAAAAGACCCTTGGACAAAGATATGAATATTTCAGAGGGCCACAGGGAGGTTGGGGGTATCTAATAATTAAAGTGGATTATTACTTAAATTATTACATATACCCAGTGAAGTGACTGGACTCAGGTGATACACTGATGAAACAAATCCTCCTACATAAGTTGTACCTGTTTATCTGTAGTCTTTTCTACATCCATTCAAAGTGCAGAATATTTAAAGGTTGGCTGAGAGTTCATTAAAAAAAGAGGGGGGAATGAGTTCACTTCACTGGATATACAGTGAAGGAAATAAGTATTTGATCCCCTGCTGATTTTGAATGTTTGCCCACTCACAAAGAAATGATCGGTCTAAAAATCGAATGGTAGGAATTTTGTAACACAGAGACGGAATAGCACCAAAAAATTCAAAAGAAATGCGTGTCTAACAAATGATGACTGATTTGCATGTCCATGAGGGAAATAAGTATTTGATCCCCTTCACAAAATATGACTTAGTACTTGGTGGCAAATCCCTTGTTGGCAATCACAGAGGTCAGACGTTTCCTGGAGTTGGCCCCCAGGTTTGCACACATCTCAGGAGGGATTTTGGCCCACTCCTCTTGGCAGATCCTCTCCAAGTCTTTAAGGTTTGGTGGCTGACGTTTGGCAACTCGAACTTTCAGCTCCCTCCACAGATTTTCAATTGGATTAAGGTCTGGAGACTGGCTAGGCCACTCCAGGACCTTAATGTGCTTCTTGTTGAGCCACTCCTTTGTTGCCTTGGCCGTGAGTTTTGGGTCATTGTCATGCTGGAACACCCATCCACGACCCATTTTCAATGCCCTGGCTGAGGGAAGAAGGTTCTCACCCAAGATTTGAGGGTACATTTCCCCATCCATCGTCTCTTTGATGCGGTGCAGTTGTCCTGTCCCCTTAGCAGAAAAACACCCCCAAAGCAGAATGTTTCCACCACCATGTTTCACAGTTGGAATGGTGTTCTTGGGGTCATAGGCAGCATTCCTCCTCCTCCAAACACGGTGAGTTGAGTTGATGCCAAAGATCTCGATTTTGGTCTCATCTGACCACAACACTTTCAACCAGTCCTCCTCTGCATCATTCAGATGTTCAGCGGCAAACTTCAGACGGGCCTGGACATGTGCTTTCTTGAGCAGAGGAACCTTGCGGGCACTGCAGGATTTCAATCTTTGTCGGCGTAGTGTGTTACCAATTGTTTTCTTGGTGACTGTGGTCCCAGCTGCCTGGAGATTATTAACAAGATCCTCACGTGTAGTTCTGGGATGATTCCTCACTGTTCTCATGATCATTAACACTCCACGAGGTGAGATCTTGCATGGTGCACCAGACCTAGGGAGACTGACAGTTGTTTTGTGTTTCTTCCATTTGCGAATGATTGCCCCAACTGTTGTCACCGTCTCACCAAGCTGCTTGGCGATAGTTTGGTAGCCCAGTCCAGCCTTGTGTAGGTCTACAATCTTGTCCCTGACATCCTTGGACAGCTCTTTGGTCTTTGCCATGGTGGAGAGTTTGGAATCTGATTGTTTGATTGCTCCTGTGGACAGGTGTCTTTTATACAGGTAACAAAATGAGATTAGCAGCACTCCCTTTAAGAGACTGCTTCAAATCTCAGCTTGTTACCTGTATGAAAGACAGCTGGTATCCAGAAATCCTGCTGAATGATAGGA